CTCAAGCTCAGAACTGGGGTTTAGGGACACCCTGCACACACCAGGCTCTCTGCCAGGGATTGCAATGCGCTGGCCCTGCTCACACAATCCAGGGAACTGAGATTCAATGGTCACAGCTGCAGAAAGCAGCTTCTGATCCCACCTAGGGCACCATGAAATGAGGCTGCATTCAGGGCTAGTTTAGAAATCCTGCTCTCTTTTCCACGACATGAAGAAATGAGAAATTGAACACAATGTGTTCCGTTTTGGCTCGCTTTAAATTCCATCCAGGAGAGACGAACACAGCGCATCCACTGAAATACAAACCTTGAAGATGATCAGAGCAGCCTCTTCAAGAGGCATTGGGTAAAGCTCTGAATTCAGTCAGCACAGTGGAAAGCTCTGAGGATCTTGGGAAGAGTCCCAGTCTGGGGCTGTTGTCATAAATGGTCTTCATAAAAGTGAATCCTTAGTTTCAGCTCTTTTCCCACATCAGCTGGGAAGCCTGCTGGGGTTTGGGTGCATTTTGGGATTCTCTAATCAGTTGCTGAAATGTTCCTTTTTTCCTGGTTGCACTCTCCAGCAGAAATGCCAGCAGTGCTGTGCCAGTCTGCCTCCTTGAGGATTATCCCACAGAAAGAAATTCTGCTCTTTCCTTTTCCCTCCACACAAGCACTGAAGCTGGCTCAGCATTCACTGCTTCAGGAGTAAAAGCATTCTCAGGAGATTGAGATTTTTCTGTCTCTCTTGATGCCACTGGCCTAAGGAGCTCATCTTAACAATGCAATCTTCACTGCCTTTCCATGCAGTAGCTGCTTTTATAGCAAACTTTACAGGAATTGCATCAATTCCCTCTCCAGTCTTCCCTCTATGCATTTCTGCTGTATGGAACCCTCTGACACAAACCTGGAACTCAGGGAAGGGCAGCTCCCAAAGTATGGAATTCTGTGACAAACCTGGAACCCAGGGAAGGACAGCTCCCAAAGCCCCCACAATGTCACACCCAGCCAGGCTTTGCTCTTCTCTGGGGCTTTTCTCTCTGGGATCCTGCCAGGGCTGGCTGCTATTAGACAACCCACTTTTGTAACTCTCACAACAAGCTCCATTATCTGTAATTCCTGGTTTAGCAAAGGACAAAAGGAGCTTCCCACTGACACTCACAGCAAGGTAGCAGTATAGCCAAAAATTAATTCTGAGTTTTGCAGTCCTCTGCTCCCTGCTGCCCTTGTTCATGGACCCCATCCAGAGCTTTGACCTTTCTTCTGTGACTGTGTTTTCAATAAACAGAAAATACTTTGGTGCAGTGGTTTCCCCTTTCAGGCAGTGATTCCCTTGAGGTTTGTTCACGTGCTGCTTTAGCAGGGAGGAGATGCAGTGTGCTCACTGAAGGGGTCTGGGAGTCAGTTTGGGCTGTACTTTCAGCCTCTGTTTGCCTTTGATCTGGTTGTGTTTCTCCCCTGTGAAATGGAGCAGTGCACAGTGATCCAGTCACAAAGTGTTACTGAGCCTCTTGAATTGGTGGGAAATAACCTGAAATCTTAAAACAAGTACAAATTATTAATTCATTGTTAAATCCATCATCCCACCAAATCCTCTCTTTGAAGGAGCCTTAATCCAAGGTATTATTAATATAAAAGCAATTATATTCCTGGCTTATCAGTGATGTGAATGAACATTTCATTCCTTCTTTCTGCAGTGCGGAGGGTCCTGCCTCTGAAATCATGCAGATTGATTTTGAAATTGAGGAGCTGACTGACCTGCCTGAGACCCAGCTCATCACCTGGCAGGTGGAATATCCTGGAGACACCACATCAGACCTGGGCATCTCCAAGATCTACGTGAGCCAGAAGGACCTGGTAGGAGTTCTCCCTTTGGCTATGGTAAGGAGCTGTTTGGCATTCTGCAGGGCTTGAGCACTCCATAGCTGGGAGGGACAGAGGGAAACACCTGGAGAGGCAGATCCTGCCTTGGGAGGGCAGAGCACAGATCCCTTGGAGGCCAGCTCCTGCTCTTGG